CAGGACGCAGGCCAAACGCGGCGAGGTCCTTTGCGACTTCTGCACCACCAGGAAGCAGAAGGCCGAGAAGTCCTGCTTGGTGTGCCTGGCGTCTTACTGTGAGATCCACCTCCAGTCTCACTACGACTACCCGGCGCTGATGAAGCACAAACTGGTCAAAGCTACTGGCCAGATGAGGGAGAAGATCTGCGCTCAGCACGACAAGTTGCTGGAGGCCTTTTGTCGTACAGACCAGACGTCTGTGTGCGTCCTGTGTATGATGGATGAGCACAAGCATCATGACATCGTCCCGGCTGGAACTGAAAGGACTGAGAAACAGGTGAGTGGTACACCATCAAGAATTCATAAATTGGGTTTTTGTGTGAAATTTCAGCATGAACTTAAAATTCACGATATATCCCGAAATACCCAAATCCTGAAGCCTCATTTTTAATGTTATATCATTTCCTCCATAGAAACAACTTGGCACCACGCTGCACAAATCCCAGCAGAGGATTGACGAAAGGGTCAAAAAGTGGCAGGATCTCCGACAAGCAGCGGAAGCTGTCAAAGTAATGGCTCTCAGTTAGCATGTTAAGAAAATGTATTTACATAGCTGCAGATACATTTATGTCGAATGAAGTTGTGTTTTTTGCAAAGAAAAATAGCATACCAATAACATTTTACTTTGAGTACTGGCATTATGTCTGTCAACATGTTACCCCACCGGTTGTGTTTGAATATCCTTTGCTAATAACACCGCTACACCGATGCTATTCGTTAGCCTGTCTGTGCCACTTTTAATGAGATGTTGTGCTTACGTAGGTGCTCCTGTTTTGGTTCGCAACAGAAATCAAACGCATTTATTTGTCTTCGGGAAGAAATAACCATCCGATCCTAACAAACTCATGTTTTTCCTTGTTTCTTTTCAAACATCATCAGCACTCAGCTGACTCAGTCCTGGAGGAGAACGAGCGGATCTTCACGGAGCTGCTGCTCTCCTTAGAGAGGAAGTACAACGAAGTCAAGGAGATGGTCCGCTTGCACGAGAGAACCACCGTGAACCGCGGGGAAATTCTCCTGGACCGTTTGGAGGAAGAGATCACCCTGCTGAGGAAGAGACACACCGACTTGGAGAAGCTGTCGCACACCGACGACCACATACACTTTCTGCAGGTGAGGACAACCTTGAAAGAAAAGGGGGAGGGGGGAAAAATAAATCTCGCAAATTCCGGGGCACTTGCTATTATTTATTTATTTGAGATCAAATGTTTTTAGTCACATTTTTCTTTTTTTACATATAGTGAAACACCATCACATATCATCCGTACACTTTCCACTTTGTTTCTGACCAGAGTTGGCAGTCTCTATCGGGTCCTTCGGGCTACGAGGACCTGAACAACGTCAGCATTGCTCCCAATTACTCCTTTGAGGCCACCAAGAGAGCCATCGCGGCCCTGAAGTTACAAGTGGAGGAAATCAGCAAGAGAGAGACGACTAAAATCTCTGCAGCAGGTTGGCAGGTTTATCTTGCCTTGCCACACCATTCATTGGCTTCTCTCCTTGAACTGTCACTTTCCCATTGTTTTTGTCTCCAGTGAAAGAAGTCTACATCACAGAAGAAAGTGACAAAAAATTAAAGAGGGAATCATTGTTTGTAACCGAGTCAAGGATGATGGAAGAACCCAAGACCAGAGAAGATTTCATGAGATGTAAGTTATCCTGAACAAAAAATATGGAATCCAATACTTGCGTTTTTTTTTTCCCCTTCCATTTTATTATGAAGTGAACTCACAAACAGTTTATATTTATACAAGTCTGGGTGAAATTACCTGTACATCAGAAGACTTTGAGAAGATTTGGAAAAGACCCTTGGAAAACTTAGCATCTCTCACTTGCTCACATTTAAAGACAAGTTCTAGAGGTTTTTAGTCAGATCCAAACGAGATTCCAGAGAACAGAGGGGGATTTGTCTCATTGGAAAAAAGCTAAACATGGATCGTAATAACATCACGTCGGGTCGGAACTGAAACTAGCATTACAATAACACACCTGACAGAACAGGTTTGGTGAAATGGGAGAAAGCAAACCTCGAGATCGGGATCACTTTAAACAAACACAGGTGTTACTTCAACAACTTGACAGAATCATTCAACAAGTTCCGTTACAGTTTGAGACGGCTGCTTTCAGTATTGTGTCGAGATTGTTCATCCATTTTCGATCATACCCGTCCTCATTAGGATCGGCTTGGGTTCAGCTGTCACTCAGTGACCGTGCGAATGAGTATCTGTTGCTAAACGTGTCCTGCGATTGACTGGCGACCTGTAGAAAACCCAACGTGACGTAAAAAAATCAACATGTCTCCCACCAATCAATTTTCCACATATTTCGCCCTTTAGTGAGCCCAATCTCTTGGATGACGCCCGTGCACTCCCATACTTTCAGAATCTCTGGCCTCATCATTGACTGTCACATTTTTTTTTTTTTTTTTTTTTAGATTCTTGCCAGCCGATTCTGGATGTCAACACTGTGCACCGCAACCTTCACCTCTTCGAGGGCAACCGGACCGCCACAATGAAGAGTGTGCCAAAGAACTACCCTGACCACCCGGAACGATTTGACCACTGGCAGCAGGTAAGCACTTAGTATGTTACCTGGGTTTTAAGTAATTTTTTTGATTGGGTTTTTACAGTGTACACTTCCTTCAATATCACCTTCCACAAAATAATCCCCCCCCCCACACACACACACACAAAATGGTGCCAAAGCATCACATGAAGCTCCTCAACTTGCTTTAACATAGTTCCTTGGTACCAAGATGCCACAAGATGGCGCTGAAGCGCTGCCTGACGCCCTTCAAGTCACTCAGGTTTACTGATTATGTGTTTCCTTCCCTCGCTACAAGGTGCTTTGCAAAGAAGGCCTGGCCGGGAGTCGCTACTACTGGGAGGTGGGCTGGAAGGGATCGGAGATCGATGTGGCCGTCACCTATAGGGGCATTTTCCGAAAAGGAAACAACAACGTGTGCAGTCTAGGTTGGAACGACAAATCCTGGAGCCTCTACTGCTCACAGTCCAAGTTCTCCTTTGTGCACAACAACAAGAGCACAGACCTACCCGTCCCCAAGTCGTCTCGCATTGGCGTCTACTTGGATCATGTGGCGGGGGTGCTGGCGTTTTACACGGTGTCTGATACCATGCAGCTTCTGTACCAGGTCCGCACTACTTTTACGGAAGCGGTGTACCCGGCTTTCAGTGTATGGGGCTACGGTACCAGCATTAGACTGTAGGAGAGCAGAATTGACGTGAGTGGCATTTAAAAAGCGTGTGCTGACTGCTCTTATAGTCTGTGGTGTATTCAAAATGACGAACACAGCAAAGCATACACGTAACCATATCGCCAACAAGTGCGAGTCTCCATCCCAAACCAGAAGTCTGGCATACATGGCTGACATGTAAGAGGCAGCACACCACACACACCCCAGGATCATCATTCAGGATAATCATTCGAGACACCTGAGTATCAGGCCTTTTGCTGACTGACTGAAAGGGAAAGGAAATACTCAAATTCGTCCCAGTTGTTGTGTGTACCCCACTGAATTTGATCATCAATTTTTGTTTGACAGATTAAGTTTACACTATTATATGAGCGACATAAACATGCTGATGTCATTTCTTCTCCAAAAAAAAAAAAGCATATGGGTTTTGATGTGTCATATTTCCTCACACAGAGCAGGTTTTGCTTTTTGAATTTGTGAAATGGACTGCAACTTTTAATAAATATCATGAAAACTCACAAGTCTTCAAATGTGGAAATCGTATACATGCCGGCCTTGCATTTATCTAACCATCCATCCAGGGGCTAATGTGCTTTGTAACTTTGTAATGTAAATGTTATTGGCAATACAGTCAGTATTAATATATTAGATGAATAGATTTTTTTAATTCAAATATTTGCAGTCTTTATGCTGCCCATAATAGAGAAATGTTCTTGTTTTTTGTATTATACTGATATTGAATTTGTTGAATGTATTCATGATCAATGTAGATGGACGGACTCCTGGCTACGAAGGGTTCTGTACAAAGTGAAGATAATAAATTAAAGCTCAGGGGGGCAGCAGAAACACAGTTTATTAAACGGCTTTATATTGCTTTCCCTCTATTTTAAAACATAAAAGAAACCTCTGAGGCACACGCCTTTTGTTGTGTACTTTTTATTTATAAATTAATCACCGATCTTTAATGCCAAATCGGAAAATGATCTCCAATTTTGTATTTTCCAAAACAGAACTAATGCTCTTTCATGTTTGAAGTACGCCTCCGAAAAAAAGTGAAACTGTTGTTTCTGGAAACAAGTTCGTGTTTAATTGTCCCAAAAAAAGGTAGAAATGTGTTGCTCAACGTTGCTGAGTCGCGTTACCATTGCGTACGTAAATTACGCAGTGGCAAAATTCAATCGCAAAACAGATTGTTATCGAAAGATATATGCAGGTTCATCTTGGGCAACATCTTCTGTAACTTTGAGCTTACTTTCCAGAACGTTTTATTTTCCTAAATAAATGTCATTTGTAATAGAATTTTGTTTCATTAATCTCATAATGTTTCTTGGAAAGTTTTATAGACACAAATGTAAAGTGACATAGTAAAACCAATTTTTTATGTTTTTGAATGAATTAGATATATACTTTATATATCTGGTGCTAAAAAATAAGAAAGTTGTCAAAACCTTGAACTTGTGTTCCTGTTTTAATGTTATCAATGTTTTTTTTTTTAAGACGTTTATTTTTTGTTTTGTTTTTTCTTTTGATTGTTATTTTTCTCCTGTGTGTTGTTTCTTGACGTAGTTTACAATTTGTTCAAGGGAGAATTGTGAAAAAAAAGATTGGTAGCTAGATATTTGCAAATAGAGAAAGAACATTGCTAAGTTAGTACTGTATTACAGTAATGATCTTGAGGTCCTCCGAGTTGACTTGACAGCGCCCCCCCGCGGCACTTCTCGGCACACACCGCCAGCACAGGTTGCAGGGGGGCGGAGTCAAACAGCTGGGTGCCCTGGAGTGTCTCGTGGCGGCTATCCTGCAGGTCGGGCTCCACTTTGAAGGCAGTCGAACTCTCCCTTTCTTTTCCCTTCCATAACGACATCGTCTAAGCGGGATTTCCTACTTGTCAACGCCAGAAAACTACCGGTTCTGCGGCCCCCGTCTGTTTTTCGGCTACCTGAAGTGGAGAGAGGACAAGTCGACCAACACCAAAGTTAAGCAGGAAGACTCTTGCGGTGGGAAAAAAACCCCACTTGCTCGAACACGTAGCCGCCGAAGGTGAGTAATGTGTTCATGTTTCCTATTGATGCTCACCGTTATTTGTTGCTAGCTTGCGGCACGAGACACTGCGCAGCGGTCGTCGTTATTCATTGCGACTATTGAATGAAGACGTGACTTAATATCACTTGTGTAATGTTACAACAGCACATCCCGTGTTAAGCTCCATATAAGTCTCCCTGTGCTCGAGAAAAAAAGATCAAAAATTGGATACAAAGTATCGCTAATAATGGTGCCCTTTCCCTCCTTTCCAGCAGCTGAAACAAGCCTCGTCCTTCTCGTGTGGCCGACTTATTAAAATGACTCATTTGGCGTCAGTGCAGATGTCAGCCCCACACAGTTAAATGTTAGAACTACTTGAGCACATATTGCTCGGATGGTCGAAGAGGAAAAAGAGGAAAGAGGGTTCGAGGTGCCTGCCATGTCTTTGTGGGTGATCCTGCCTGTTAGCCTCCCAGCACTGACCATCACTGGGATCTGGGTCGTGTAAGTATTCACAACCTTCTTCCATATTCATTAGTCACAAAAGCTATGAAAACACTCATCTGAAGGCAAAATATTCTTGTGTGAAGTTATCGAAGGATGTACCACACTGTCCCAGGGTCAGGATAAGCCCCCCCCCCCCAAAAGTCATTCAAGATCACTAACATTGAGTGAGTCAACTAGTGCAGTTTTGCCTCACTCGTATCACATCTTAAGGGTTTTCCAAAAGTGAGTGTACTAGGAACTAGTACATGGACCTTAAGATGGATATCAATAAATATTATTGAATAAATGTTCAAATAAGATGCATGGTTATGACTTTGTCTTGCTAGTGACATTTTTTTTTCCACTACTAGTGTCCTCGTACAATACATCCTGATTTATATAGCGCTTTCACAACAGCTGCAGCTGTAACAAAGCGCTTAACAAAACAGTTAACAAACTAAAATAATTACTACATAACCACTTTTCCGTCATACGCGTTGTTGTTTAAATCAGTTTCAGATGAAAGAGGAGAGAATCAAAGTGTCCTTTCACCAGTGTGTCAGAGACGTCATGCTCAAAATGTGGACACGTCGGCTACAAGCTCAGTTTCAAAGTCAACAGGAAGCTGTAGCATCCATTGACGAAAAAAGAGATTGGTTCACTTCTCCTGTCCCACGTAAATCCATTTCAATTCCAAGCGGTGACTCTCAGTTCCAAATACGCATCGGCGTTCTGCGCCGATGCTCCTTTCTCCAGCAGCCATCCATCCAGCTGCACCAACGGTGACTGTCCAACAGCGCCAACATCTCCCCTGAACAAAACGGGGCTGTGAAAAATGCTGCGCATTACAGGCGCAAAAAACCCAAGCGCCTCGGAGCTGTCCAGCATCGACAGTCAAATGGCGCTGACATTCCTCCCAATCAAAATCAGTGCTGGTACACGCGTGCTGCAGAGAAGGCGCAACCACCAAGCACAGATTCTTCTCCTTTGACGAACGTCGTGGCCAAAAAACGCTGTAAACAGTCCGCATCAGGTCCACACGACAAAACAACAAACACCATGTGACAAAAACAAAAAAACAACAAAAAAAGCAAGGCTCTTGAAGAGCACTTGCTGACGGCTGCCTACTCGGGTGCCATCTTGGGGGGGGGGGTGGAGTAGGAAACAAGGATTAACTTCTCACGCGCAGATGTCAACTCGTGCTCAGTTGTACCTCACTAGTAACATGGAATTCAGGGGCGTGTGGTCAGGGTAGGCCAGTGAGTCAATGCCGCCCCCTTGCTGATCGTTCTCTGCACGTGAAGAATGGGGGGGGAGAAGAAAAAACCAAAACTTCATTGAATGTAATCATGATGTGTTTCATTTTAGTTCTATGGTTCATGCCTTACAGTGAATTTCTTTTCAATCCAGTAATGATCAAGGATTTATGTTGATGTTGGGCCCAGCATTTCTAGAGCTCAATCAGTCATGAGAGTGCTGAGTTTTCTTTACGGTATGGCCAAAGAGTGTACTAGTACATGGACCTCAAGATGCATATCAAGCATTGAGTAAATGTTCAAAGGGCTTCCCTTTATACCTACAAACCCTCCTCATCATTGGGGAGCTGCTTTGGAAAGGCAGAAAGGCCAAATTATTTTTTTTGGGGGGGGGGGGCTTCTATGCTAGTCTCTGGTGATTCCTCCTTTCTCCAAGAGAGCAACTCTGTTGCATGTTTACCCTGAATTCCTGGGAGCCATGGCAATTGCATGTGGATTAGCTCTCCGGGAAGAGCGCTTTTTTTTTTTGTTGAAAGAAGTGAAATGTGCATGACAGCCTTAACATCTTACCTCTTGCTGTTTGTACACTTAAAGGGAGCGAGAATACCTCCTGGTCATGTTCGGGCTGACAGTTCTGGTATTATGTGCTGTTATTAGAGGAGGAACGCAAACCATAAGAGGGAGTCGAGAGAGAGAGAGACAGATGGTCCCGTTCCAAATGTTCACAGTTGTGTATGGATGAGTGCAACTCAATGTATGCACAATGTCATGTTAGTACAAGAACGGCATAGCAAGGGTGAAGTCATTTGGCACTGCGGTTGATGAATTGTCAAAGGCAGTTACATGGTGCCGATTGACATTCGATTTTCGTGACTTTTCAAATGAAATAAGCAATAAAAAGGAAGCCATTGATTCATTTTCGACACAGCTGACAACCTGGACTCGTCAATCACGTTCAAGGTTAAAAAACAAATAGTGCCTGAAAAAAAGGAATATTAAAAATCGAGGACACATTAAGTTGATTTTTCTGCATCGCAAAAGAGGAGAGGAAGTGATAAAGAGGGAAGATTTTTTTTGTTTGGTTGTGTGAAGAGGAAGTCTTATTTCATTTGGTGATGATGTTGCACTGGCCAATGTTTCTCAACTCTTACTTAGCTAAAAGTATTCCAAAAAGTGTTAATTAGGTTAATTATTTACATCCAGTGGAAGGGCATTTAATTGTTCTTCCTGACTCGATACTCTACATAAATGAACAAGGATACATAAAATAAGAAAACCTTTATTAGTCTCACAATGGAGAGGTTGTGTGCCGTGAGGTTCTGCTCGGCTCCTTCAGTTTTCTCGTTTGTCTTATTTTCGAACTTGTGATATTCGCAAGAAGCAGTCTTGACTTTCTTTACACTCACTCTATTTTGTAATGAACACACCGAGCGGACGTGGCATCCGTTTTTCTACTTGTTAATATATATTTACATCTGGAAAAAATGTGGTATCAGTGCATTCCTAATTTTTGGACCAATGAAGAGAAATTGGAATATTTCCCATGGCACACCTGATGACCTTTCATGGCACAGTAGTTGTAAATAACAGACCTTTCTATAATTCAAGCCAACCTTCCCAAAAAGGAGGCTTATCATAGGTCATATATGTCTCTAGACCACTACTGTATTTATACACGCGCGCATTTCTCTCTGCCGAAACCAGTTTTAGCCACCTCCAAAACCCAGGTTCCTTCCTGTTGCATTGACAAGGGCGCCTTGTTTCGAGGAGCAGTCAAGGGTCCTTCCCCACCCCCCTCCTGAAGAGCGCAATGTCAAAGGATGTGACCTGTTGCATAACTTGGTTCTTTGAGCGCAGGCGACAGGATGGGAGTAAAGTAAATACGGCAGGGGGACAGAATGGAAAGCGTGCATTGCTGACCCCTATTGGCACGAGTGCATTGAGCGACACTTTCAACAGAAAGTCCCTGTTGGGGTTAGGACATCCTGTATCTATGGTTTGATGATATGGCCTGAAAATAAAATCTCCGGTTCGCCGCTAAAAACAGTGCCCCCCCCCCCTTTCTGGCATTATTTTATTTTATCTCAGTTGTAACAATTAGTGCAAACAGCGAAGTTGGAAGCATGATATCATTGACAGTGTTACGTAACAATGTAATGATGAATTGGAATAGACGGCTGCTTATCCAGTGGATATAAAAAGTCTACACACCCCTGTTCAAATGCCAGGTTTTTGTGATATAAAAAAAAAAAAAGAGAGAGATCAAGATGTATCATTTCAAAGCCAATCTTTTTGTGAGGGAAAGTGAAAATCATTGTGATTTCATGTGGTTGCACAGGTGTGCACGGCCCCTTAAAACGGGGGGGGGGGGGTGTCGCTCTCTTCTGGAGAGTCTTTGTGGCCTTAATTCTAAAAGGTACATTTGTCACAAACGCTGCACTGCTTACCACCAAAAGAGCATCTTACGTGAACAGCATCATGCTTTGGGTCTGTTTTTAGCTGCACCCGAGGCCCGAGGCCTTTCACAAATTGGAGAGAATTACAGTTTGAAATGGCAGTCGGAGAAAAAAAAAAAAACCCTTCAGGCCTCTGATAGAAAGCAAAACAAATGTCATGAAAAGCCTCCTCGAGCACCAGAAATTTCAGGAGGGCGGGGTTAATCCGATGCACTTGAAATGGTGTACGATGTGTGCTGACTCCTACTTAATGTGAGTTTAAATGTGATTGTTTAATTCAGAATGAAAGTATTGTTTTTTTTGTTTTTTTTCTCAGGTCACAAAAAAACTACAATTTGAACGCGGATGTGTCGCCTTTTTTTATTTCCACTGCCACTTTGAAACCTTTAAATGTAAAAAAGAACAAACATTTTATGGCATTATTGCTCTTATATGTGATTAGAATTGATGGATCTGTAGTTTTGAAAGGAGAAGTCAAGCGCAGACAGCAACAAGCAGAAGACGTGGGGAGGCCTGGGCTAACCTGCCGTCGTCAAATTTGACACCAGTGTGATAGGACGTTGTAACTTTTGGTCTAAAAATAGATGGACTTAGGCTTGTAGCCACCTAGGCCTATGCAGCCGAAATGAATTCATCGTTCACGCCCCACACCCTTTCTTGTGGTTCCCCCCCTGTGTTATTTTTGCGCAGTGCTTTGGAACTCTTCACTGTGGCAGATTTTTCCATCAACCGACCTCTTGTATTTTCCATTTGTAAATAATAAGAAAAAAAACATGCAGTTCAAGTTTGCGGCAAAAACTGAGCCGCGCTAGATGATTTTTTTTTTTTTTTGAACAAACCTGTATTATTACTTCATGCGAACTTGAGTTTCAGCCCCATCGCTGATATTTTCAAAGCAATGGAATCATTCATAAACGTTAAGCCACCCACGATTCCTTCTCACGTCGCTCTTCACTAATCCAACGTGTGCGGTCGTAACCTCCTTTTTGTTGTTGTCGAGATGCTCTCAGTGCTCGAGATGACATTTAAAAGTCAAAGTGCTTTGTTAGCCTGCTACCTTGAAGCCACGTTTCATCTGGCTGATACGACTTGGTCACACTGATTGACATGACCTCAAGGCAAATGTTACCTTTTCCAACCAGGAAACGCGCGTCCGGATTACCAATCGAAGGGAACAATGAGGTGGGTGGGGGCGCGGGAGAGGGACTTTCATTCCCACTCGACTGAGGCCAGTGGGTTCATGTGAGTAATTTATGATAAAACATTCTTCGTTTATTCAACGCTCGCACTCGCCTTCAGTCTCGACTGTAACTTATGCAAATAGTTCACATTTTTTGCGGCTCTCGCCTCACGTGTAAAATCCAAACATAATCGAGCTCTGTTTCAAGCAATTTTCTTCATGAGTTAAAACACACCAAGAAAGAATTCTCTGGAAAATACGCTTCTTACGGTTTGCGAATCATATGGAGACAAGCATGCTCTGTATGCTGACTTCTTGTGACAACACAATCCAGCCGTGCTGCGTGTAGTTGTTCACGCGTGTGGAGCAGCAGGTGCGCATGTCAGAAGACGTTTTATGGCCCCCGACGCTTTTCTGCATCGGAAGCCTTTCTTTATTGCCACTTCAACTCTCGCTGAACCGCTCCCTATCATCACAACAGAAAGTCTGCGTCTTTGAGTTTCCTTCTCTGTTGAAAAAAGTCGGTTTTGACCTGTGAATGGCGATGCGTTGACTGGCCGCAAAACCAAATACTCTGTCGTGTATTGAAGCAGATCAGAAGGCCGCTTCTGCTTTTGGCGATTTTTTTTTTTTTTCATTTCGTTCAATCTCATTTCCGTCTCTGCTTTATGGGCCTGGCGCTTGTGTGCGCAGAGCAGGGAGTTTAGATTGTCAATCAATTTGACGATGACGGCGTTGCATTATACAACAATCTGAAGAACAGTAGTTGTCTTTATCTCGCAGATAGATAATGGTCCTCTGGTCATTGACTTCTGAGCTGAGGAGGTGGTCAGCGACCTGACCCCAGTCAACACGGCTTTAGGGCGGAAGCCGCAATGCGATTACCCAAGATGGCCTCAAACAAACCACCCATATACTGTGTCTGTCTTGAACTATATTGAGTTGGGGATGAAGTCTTTAAACAAATGGCAGGGTGTCAAATTTTGTTTTCCATCATGGGCCACTTCATGGTTAGTGTTGGCGTCAGAGGGCCAATCGTTACAATGAAACAACTAAGATAAGAGAGGATCATCATGGTTCGGTACATTTTTTTTTTTTTTTTTTTTTTTGGGTACAGTGTGAGAACAAATTGCTTATCATTCATGGAACCGGGAACAGATTGAGTGACCTTTAAATGGAAGCAACAGTTCAAATTGAAAGTTCTTTTTAGGTAGTTACATTAAGAGTTTGTTTGCCTTTTAGGGAAATGAAGGATTCAGGCAAGCGCAGCAGTTTTGATAAGTGTGAATTCATACGAATAATGGTGTTTGTCAGTGCTTTGGCTTCATCTGCGATTGGTTGTTGCACACTACTTACTTTTTTTTTTTTTCCTAACCCGCGGCACTTATGTCCACGTCCGCTTGATGCCATTTTAAACAAGTGAACAATTGTGACCGTAGCAAAAGCAGACAGAAATTCATGTATAACGAGGTATGGTCAAAACATTAGGCACTCCTATTTAAATCTATTTATTTATTTTTGTGTGTGTGTGTGTGTGTGTGTGTGTGTGTGTGTGTGTGTGTAGGATCCAAATCTTGTACCTCTCTCTCCTGTGGTCGCACTGTGGTTGAGAGAAAAGACATTTCATCTGTGCTCTATGTTGCACATCGAGCATATTTGACAGTAAAAGTTGACTTGACTTGACTTGGATGTCGGTTAAAGAGCTAGTTTTATGTCTATTTCTCGTTGATTGAAAAATTGACGTCTGAAAGTTTATTCCGTATTTTCTTACGCTAAATGATATGCTGAAGGAAGAGGCAGGCACCCATGGATGCAGGGGAGGGGAAAAAAAAACAGCCCAGAGAACAGTTTCATATAAAAAAAAAAAAAATCCAACAAAAAGCACTGCAGGCAAAGTCACTTAAGGACACAGTTTCACCAAACAAGAAACGTCATGCTCCACAGGACCAAAACAGACGAGAATATACATGATGGGAGAAATTTGGAAACGACGCAAGGGAGGGGGAGGAGCTGATCGGTTGGGGAGCAGAGTAGTAAACGCTAGACAGCCAAGAATTCACAAATCAAGACGCATCTCCACTTGACGCAGGGAAAAGGCCAAGTACATAAAAAAAAAAAAAAAAAAAAACACCCCATAAAAGAAATGAATTGCGGCTCTTTCTTTTGGGTTAATTACCCTTGCTCTCCTCCTCCAGGTATGCCATGGCTCTGTACAACCAACACGTCTGCCCTGTGGATAACTGGTATGTTTTATTTTTTTTTTTGGTTGTTGTTTTTTGTTATGCTGTTTTTTGTCATTTTCTCTTTTATCTCATGCAATGATCTGGATGCCATGAGGCAATTCTTTCAAATCTTTTAAAGGTCAGCCCCAGAGGCTAATTTCACACACAGCCACATTAAGTGTGCTCATCTTATCTATCATGCACAGAACCACAAAAAAAAAAACAAAAACTCTCAAGTAACCTTTCTAGAAATCTTAGATTTTGGTCTGTAGCATCCGATTTACAGTCAATTTGGTCATTACTAGGCTTGGACCGATATGAGATTCTGATGATATAACCGTGAGCAAAAATATCACAGTATTAAAATCACAACTCAAAAATGTCCTTTTTGGGGGTTGTGCACATTGTTTGCTGTAGCAAAAAACGCATGCGTAGACGTACATTATTCTTCCCGATCACCGCTCACCTCTGTGCTCAGCCAAGAAGGAGAAAAACAAGCAGGTGGCAAGTTGTCATTAACTTCAAAGTGGCAGCTGATCTCTGCGAGCAGCCAACCATATTGCAGCTGCTAAAAAGGCCCCTCCAAAAAAAACTGAAGAAAAAGCTCATTACCGGTGATGGCTAGTCACAGTGGGTATTGAAACCGTGACTTTTTAAATCCACAGTAAACCGTCAAACCGCTGATTGGCCCTTGCCTAGTCATTACCAAAATGGACTTAGTAGCATTCCTCAGATTTAAAAAAAACAAACAAACAAAAAATATTACCCCAACGGCAATTAAACTGAACATGAAATTTGGTAAACTCTATCGTGAATAGACCCACAAAAATGTATCCAGAACCCATGCCCAAAAAGACACCAAAAAAATCTCCCATTTTGCTTGTACGTTATAGTTTGAAGTGTATTTGGTCATTTCCAAAGAAAAGGCTCAGTAGCAGAAATTTGAGGCCAATTTCACTGAGTAACATGGAATTTGATAGACATCTCAAATTTCCTTATTTCACTTCCTTTTTTTTTTTTGTACTTCCTTATTTTACTTTATTTTCTAATATTTAGCTATGCTTCTGTTTAAATGTGCAAATGCACTTGCAAGTGGACGCGCGTATATACGCCGTGCATGAACAGTGCTCGATATACCATTCCCAAAATTTAATCGAATGATTGATGGGTGGCGGCACGGTGGTCAACTGGTGAGCAAGTCCGCCTCACATTGTAGAGGTGCAGAGTTCGATTCAAGCTCCGGCCTTCCTGTGTGGAGTTCTCCCCGTGCCTGCGTGGGTTTTCTACGGGTACTCCGGTTTCCTCCCACATTCCAAAAGCACTCATGGATTGATGGATTGGTCTACAGGAGTAGGCTTCACCCTCAAAATAGTCTCAAGATGCCATGCCGAGCAAGACACTCAAAGTCTGCCATTTTGTTTAAGGCAGCCATTTTAGGCTTTTTTTTTTTAACCCATTTTTTGTGGTCCTTCCAAAACAAACATCTCCCAGCAACCCACAAAGGTTTAATCAAAGCAATGCCAAGGATTCTGTTCCTCTTTGTTGACGATGTTTCACCGTTAAGCATGTTTCCTAAATTTGATATGCCGGAAATGTGAAAATCTAGAAAATCGGAGTCCTCCTCCTAACATTGGTTTGCAAGATGAAATAAACACTGTCCAGTTGTTTGAAGGCAAGGTGGATGTCGCACAAATGACGGATGCTGTGCTCTTCCAGGTTGTACAACCAGTCGTGTGAAGAGGAGCTGTATTTGCAGAGTGGACCAACGTTGTGCTGCACGCTGGACAACATACCTCTCATCAGGTCAGTGAGGAGACTCCCACCACGCACCGCCACCCAACACTCCTGCACGTCTTCCATTCTCCCACTGTCGTGTCTTGTCTGCGTGATGATTCAAAACAGGAACACACCCATTGTGTTTTACGTCACAGCCCGACCGCTTGGCTGCCTTGTGGATGAAAGTCACGTGAGCGTCTCCTTTAAGGAGACGGACGACTCCGCATAGGAGACGACTATGCCTATGCACGTGCGCTGTGCACGCGCGCGCGCGCATTGGGAAAATGACTCAGGGCTGAAGTATCCCGCCTTCCACTGTGGTTGTTCAGAGTCAGAGGCAGGCCCCATGCGATCATGTAAACACACACTTGAAGAGCAGCCGGTTAACATCTTTGGGAACAAACCGAGGCGCTCGTTGTTTTGTTTAACTTTGGGCTTTTGAACATGAAAAGCCAGTTTGACCCTACGTAGGTTTTGCGGTTTATGTAACGTGTCTGGATGAAATCGTTTCGAGAAAAGACAATAAATCACGCCTTATGTCATGATAGATAAATAAAAAGACAGCCCAAACAAAGGGGTTATGTAAAATGAACAAAGATGAAAATACTGCATGGGGGGGGGTAAGTGGGGACTTGTCTGAAGTTCTCTTAAAATTGAACCTGTTTTTCTTGGCCTGTGATGTGGCATTCCACCAGGTTTGGTGAAAATAAGGTTGCCAGTTCTTGCGTAATCCAGTTGACAAAGACGGCCACCAGAACAGTCAGCTGCAATATAAAAATACACATTTTGAGGAGAGCTGCACTCAAAGTCAAAGTTCTCAGCCCACATTGCAACATTTAGCTCAACTCAAATGCAGAATTTTGGACAACAAACATGCGTTCAAAAAAATCAGGTGCAATTAGACAGAGCGGAACTTTTGAGGTTGGATGCATTTCCTCCCATTTGTTTGCACTTTTTGGCCCTTTGCTGTGACATCGCACCAAAAAATGTAAAGAAAAAGCGAATCACAGTTGAGTTAATTCTTTAAGGGGGGGAAAAAAAACCTAATCAAGCGTGTTTACTGTATCTGACTTTGCGTGAACTAAAGAATGCATGTGACTGCAGTCAGCTGAGTTGGCTTTCGGTGGGCAGCAGCTCCGGGCACAGACAGGCAGACCACCAACAAAACAATTGCTGTTCATTGAAAGAGAAGCTGTGTGGGTAAAAAGCTGACATCCTAGCGGTTTCTATCTCACCGCTTGGAGAGTGGAAAAGTCACAATATTTCATATGCGGTGAACCCACCATAACGTGGTTCGTCGTTCACGCCACCACTATTTCACAGTTTGTTTGTTTGTTTTTTTTTTTAAGCGATCAGTCTTGAAAAATACCGGTATGTGTTTTTGTAGTATGTACAGGCAAGTCCCATTTTAGAGTTGGGTTGACTGCAGATTCAGTTTGTGTCTGTGTTGTTGATGTCATTCATGTCCGTGTTCTCTCATCTTGCAGTAAATGTGGGACGCTTCCGCCAGAGAGTTGCTTCTTCAGCCTTATCTGCAGCACAGGCTCATTCATGGGTAAGGCATTATGTGCACACGCTTACACTAACTCAATCACCTCCGTCATTAGCGGGTTTTTTTTTTTTTTTTAAGTATCTGTCTGTTGCTATTACGCCTAAACCAAATTTAGCTCCTTCCAAAATACAAGCTACGACATCCTACTATGCAAGGCAAGGCAGCGCTTTATTTATAGAGCACAGTTCATACACAAGGTAACTCAATGCACTTGCTGGAATACATTGGCGTAATAACCTAATTGGTCTCCTGACAATATCGCCGTGTCTGAATTGGAATGCCTTGGGCTACTCTTTGGTTTCTTTCATTTACTTTCACGGGCGCAAAAAAAGCAGAAGTAGGACCTGACATTCGGAAGTATCATAACTAAATCATTGATGGCCTTTACCACCCTATGAGCACTAACAGCTGATTGCAAATGATCATCTACTTATATGACCAGGCTCACTTCGCATTGAACAAAATCAAGCAGGGCACACACCACGATTTTTAGCAAACAAATAGTGCCGCAATAATGATTCACACATCAGATTGTCCATTGATTGCCTTGTAGTACCTGAGAATTTTGTTACATTTAAAACCCTGAGCACTAATCATACAGTTCCACAAGTACAGTAGAAATGTGTTATTCAGCAAAACAAGAAACCGTGTCCCTTACGCATGCTTCACAAATTGCCAGGAAGCAAATAAATGTCACCGGGAACTCATTCCCGCCAAATGAATGGAAAACAACTGTACCACACACGTGCGGTGCATGTCTGCGCACTCGTAGGAAAAATTCGTGTGAGATGGTATAAAGTCATGTGCCGGTCCAAATGGTTGTTTTTGTTTTTTTTTTTTGGTCAGTCTGCACGTGTTGTTCCTTCTGCTAAGTGCTGGTTCTTGACTGCCCTCATGTAGTTAATGTTTCCCAGCTGTGGCTCGCACATGCTGTGTGTATACGTGTGTGTGTGTGTGTGTGTGTGTGTGTGTGTGTGTGTGTGTGTGTGTGTGTGTGTGTGTGTGTGTGTGTGTGTGTGTGTGTGTGTGCCTGCGCGCGTGTGCGTTTGAGGGTAAGGAGGAGGGTCGTGGGGGTTGGTTCTTCATGTTTATTCACGAGCAGTCGCCATTCTGCTATTTACAGACGGTCTCTTCCCTCCGATTGGCTGGCACCCGACTGTTGCCTGAGCCATACATTCATCTCCATTCAATGTGTATAATTTACAACATTGACGCCGTTGTCGCGGGTGCCGTTAACCCTTTCATCAACAGTAAGCACGCCTCATTTCAGTCACAGCGGGCATTTGCTGAGAACCATTGCCTTTCCTTCGTCCGATTCCACGTACGGTGTTCAAAAGAAGTCATCAAAAAATGAAAATGATGATCATGAAATACTGAGGCTATTTTTTGATCTATTCCGGTCAAGAAGTGTTAACTGCCTTGTCTGTAAGGTGTGCTTTGGTTGGTTCATTTGTGGGAAAGTACAATTGTAGCGCTTACACATTTTTATTTGATTTTTCAATTTGATCATATTTATGAATTTTCTTGTGCATGTGACAACAGGGTTGTGCACATTATATCTGCGCTAAATAAGGAATCAATAATAACCCGGCTGTCAGCGTCACGTGAACTCCAGTACACCCAAGAAAAATCAACTCGCCTCAATAAAAAATGTAAACACGGAGGTGAGATGTATCTTAACAGGTCAAATGTTTCTTATCTTTCCCGTTCTGTCAAATTTTGGACCTTTTACATCAGTGCCTAATGCCAGCATGCTGAAGCCTCCTCATCTGTAATGTTTAAAAACTCATTTTGTGGGAAAAGGGAAAAGGTCCATAGCCAGCCAGCCTCCAGCAGAGACTGAAATGTCATAATTTAATGCAATAAAGCGCTGTTGACTTACTTCTCCTTTTAGTGAGCCAGCATGTTTCCCATTTTATCCAGGAAGAGAGGAGAACAAAAAGAAAAGATTGTTTACAATGAGATGCTGATGTCCCGCCCCCTTTTTTCCCACATGTCCCTCCTTAAGAGAGTATTCCTTCCCCAGATGTTTTATTGAGGTTATGTAAAATGGATGCGCCCCGTCAATGAGATGTCTACCCTGACATTTCCACACCCCGCCAAAAGCGGAGATGAGCGAAGTGTTTCCTCAGCGCGGCCACGCTCGCCATGACGACGCCGGTTTGGCGACGAGCACCCTCCTAATTCCCCCGCGCGCACAAAGACAGTGACAACAGTTTAGTGTGCGAGTGCAATCTATGGACGGCGTGTCAAGACACCAGGGGGGCTCCTTTGCCCCCCCCCTCTCACTCTGCCATCTCGCCTCCGTGGCCCACTTTTACCGAGTGGATGGCTAAGCCTGCGTCAGCGGTGGAGGAGGTGCAAAGGTTACAGACAAAGACAAACTAGTGGGGGCTTGCTTGCCAGCGCACCAACATAACCCCCCCCCCCCCACCAAAGCCGCATAGCCCACCCAACCACATCTGTCCCCTTACAGTTTTGTACTCCGTTTCCTTTCACCTTTTTGTCTTATGTAAGACCCCGCCCCCCACATTCCTCACACTTTGCCGCCATCTCATTTTCCTGCCTTGCTCGAGTAATTCCACTTCCTGTAATTTTCAAACATCTTCCAAAGATTTTTTTTTGCCATGCTTCTTGGCACAAACGAGGTCAGATTGAGTCATCATTAAAATTGAAGCCAGACTCAGTGAAAATACAATCTAAAAAAAAAAAGCCTGCGTACACTATTGGGGCTTATGCCACAATTACTCAATTCACGGAATTTGGTGCAAAAAGCACTGAAACATTGAACAGTTGCACACGTGTGTTCAAAAGTTTGCAGAAGTACCTTTTCGGTTCATCGTGATATTTCACCCGGAAACCAAAAACGATCCCTTACTTTTTGTCTTGTATCAACCCAACAGTCCTAGACAAATGTTCGATTTAAGTCAGTTTACTTATGTAAATAAATGCATTATGTACCCTATGATCAGTGATCCAGAAGGAGCCATAACTGTCTCTATGTGTTGTTTTTTTTGTCCCACAGTTATGGTGATCGTGCTGCTCCGCTACGCCCACGTCATTGAGAAGCACCAAAACTGTGTCCTCAACACGGCGAGTCTCTCCACAGGCTGGATCTGTGCCGCTGGACTCATCATGGTGGGCAACTTCCAGGTACGGGCGCCAAGCCAAAAATGCTGCAGTTTACAAACTAAAAAAAAAGAAACCTCCTCTTCGGAATAATTGTATGAGCTAATATTCCTCAAACAAGTATTTGCCATCAATTTTGTTTCTGTGTCTGTCATGCATCTACAAAAAATGAGTAGCTTTTATTGATTGTACTATAGATATAGTTCGTCCGATATACTGTAGTGGTTTTTGTTTCTACTTGTGTGACAGGTAGAAATCTTTCATAAAACATCACCTTTATAGGTAAAAGTTTTATAATGCTAAATCAAATGAATTCAGTTTACCACTTTTTTGAAATTGAAATTTACTTAGAAGTCAACCGGCATCATCATATGCATTTAATTTGACTTTATTGTATTTGTAAGCGTGCGTGGATTATGAGATATCAGTTTTTCTTAATTCTAGACAAACTCAATCTCACGATTTGGCCTTCTTTTAGCCATTCCATATACATTTCTCACCCCCCCCCCCTCTCTAAGACAGCCTTACTGTAGCTTGCATTCAGGAGGAGCAGTCCATTAATGTTTATTAAAGTCTGTCTCATGGAGCTGTCGCTGTCCGCTTTTCTGTTTGTCCTTTGGAACGAATCTCCGCTCAGTTTAAATATTTGGAGAGTTGGCCGGGTGCCTCGATTGGACGTCTGCGTTTGTGCGCTTCTTTTGAGAAGTGGGCAGGCACGGGGAGGAGAGTTTTCCGAGAATGTTAAATGAAACTTCCAACTGCGATTGTGTGGAAACTGGAAACAAGGAGCTATAACAACATGGAAATACAGCAAATGGACTGGATTAACGATTGACTAAAAACAACAGTCGCCCCTGCCAAAAATGGAGTTGCAACACACTCATCTAATCATCTTGGACCAGATATCACCACAAATGTTTTTCATAATTTCCAAGTACTTTGAGTTATTTACATAGTATTGTTTCTTGGGAACAATACTCATTGTGTCCTCCCCCCATTGCTTTGCATAACTTTTTTGATTGAGAATCTATACTAGAAGTAGAAGAGAATAGCCTTGTGGGTGCTTAGGTAGAAGTACCGATACTTAAGAATATTGGTGTGCCAGTCTCACCTGGTTCCCCGCTTCTCCTTTGGGGCCCTCCTCTCTGCACAAACCTTTTTCACAAGCTGAAAGGGGTGCAAGGGCGGGGGGGTGGTGGGGGAGTCACTCATGGAGTCTGGCATTGGCCACCGAGAATTTTTGGTCAGATCCGTATGCTCGAGGCTTCATCTTTAACCAAATACAGGCCCTTACACTTGGCGCACGCTCTCCGCATGCTTGGCGGGGAAAGAAATAGAGATGTAAATGACGGTGGATGTATCGTGACAGTCCATCGCGGAACGCAAGAAAGGCAAAAGCAGTTTGGACAGCGCGAAGGAAAACACTGATCAAAAAGGCAGGAGATGCGCTATGACAAACCCGCCTTGTCGCCAGCTGTAGTTTGTTACTGTTAGAGGAATTTATGAGCAAAATTGTATCATGTTTAAAGTTTCATTTAATTTGGACACATCTAAACGTTTGGGCGCGTATCCAGCACTTCCAAATGCCTGTGCACAAAGGCGCCGGCCACCTGGCCGGAGGGCTGTTGAAGTCCACAATTAGCACGTCAATGCAGGTGGGCAATCACAGGGGAGGGGGCGAAACTCGGTCACAAAAGGGGAATGAATAATTTGGGAACAGCGGTTGAACAACAAAAGACGAGTTGAGAACACCCTCGCGCCCAGGCGACATTTGTCGTCCGCGAAGTCTGCAACATGTTGATACAGTGTGGACCAGACAGAAAGGCGCCAATGTACTGGTGGTTCAAAGCTTAAACTCAGGTAACCAATCACTACCGAGGGGCCGGACCGGGGGTGCGGTATGCAAATGTCGGGGGCAGTGTTTTCCTTGTATGTTACAATAAAAGTCGGAATTGGCGGGAAGGGAGCTCGAGAGTGTGATCATCGGAGCAACTACCGTCGTTCGCTCTCAGAGATCCCCCTCCCGCCGATATTGAAGACAATTTTCCTGTGTGCCGAGTCATTTCTTTAACTTTGTCCGAGAAAATCTCTGACAGTTACATAAGGTGCGGACTGGCAGGACAGCTGTGGCGTGGCCACCGGGGCTTTCGCTGTCAGGCAGACTGACGGTTTGGGCAGGGAAGGACATAAATAGAAGAAGCACGTCTCTCTCGCTCTTTTGAAAGTCTTCATCACGCTTGTGACAGCGCCGTTGCCGCGCTACATACAAACGACATGAAGAGTTGATGATGAAACGATTGCAACTGGTGATTTTTCGCAGAGGATAAAGAATTCATGCCAGTGAGTCTAGTCGAATGCTGGGCTCAGCATTGAACTTTTAAATCGAAGAGTTGATGATGAAACTCAAAAGACTATTGCAACTGGTGATTTTCCGCAGAGGATAAAGAATTCATGCCAGGGAGTGTAGTCGAATGCTGGGCTCAGCATTGAACTTTTAAATGTTCACGTGTGAACGTTGGCCTATGAACTCAGATCATTACAGTTACAACCTGCTTTTTTTTTCTTTGCATAACTTTTTTGATTGAGAATCTATACTAGAAGTAGAAGAGAATAGCCTTGTGGGTGCTTAGGTAGAAGTACCGATACTTAAGAATATTGGTGTGCCAGTCTCACCTGGTTCCCCGCTTCTCCTTTGGGGCCCTCCTCTCTGCACAAACCTTTTTCACAAGCTGAAAGGGGTGCAAGGGCGGGGGGGTGGTGGGGGAGTCACTCATGGAGTCTGGCATTGGCCACCGAGAATTTTTGGTCAGATCCGTATGCTCGAGGCTTCATCTTTAACCAAATACAGGCCCTTACACTTGGCGCACGCTCTCCGCATGCTTGGCGGGGAAAGAAATAGAGATGTAAATGACGGTGGATGTATCGTGACAGTCCATCACGGAACGCAAGAAAGGCAAAAGCAGTTTGGACAGCGCGAAGGAAAACACTGATCAAAAAGGCAGGAGATGCGCTATGACAAACCCGCGTTGTCGCCAGCTGTAGTTTGTTACATAAGGTGCGGACTGGCAGGACAGCTGTGGCGTGGCCACCGGGGCTTTCGCTGTCAGGCAGACTGACGGTTTGGGCAGGGAAGGACATAAATAGAAGAAGCACGTCTCTCTCGCTCTTTTGAAAGTCTTCATCACGCTTGTGACAGCGCCGTTGCCGCGCTACATACAAACGACATGAAGAGTTGATGATGAAACGATTGCAACTGGTGATTTTTCGCAGAGGATAAAGAATTCATGCCAGTGAGTCTAGTCGAATGCTGGGCTCAGCATTGAACTTTTAAATGTTCACGTGTGAACGTTGGCCTATGAACTCAGATCATTACAGTTACAACCTGCTTTTTTTTTCTCTTGATCAGGAAATAGCCGTATATTTGTGGGAAGCATTTATGTCTCATAATTGGATTACTAGAAACCATTTGGGGTACTGAAAAGCCTCTAATATGGTATTTCTGTAACTGAATCATCGAGGCATACGGTGATAGGACTGGGCGGATGTATAACATCTGAAGCCAGCCCGGCTCACACGATGTGACTCAGCTGCCACCAAGAGGCTGCAAGATCACTCGGAGAAAGTCTTATATAAATGTGATTTATCCAGCACTGTGCCTGCAAACATGACATCAAGCCGTGATGCTCCAAGGTCCTGTCCTATTTCACTCCAACCACACAAACAGTCCAAGTCGTTTTAATTGCGGGCCACGTCGTAGTTATGGGTTTCCCTCCGAGCACAGCACCAATGACTGTGAAAATCATAGAAATGTATCTTCATCATATCGCATTACTTCTATAATTAACAACGAACTGAATTTATCATCAGAAGACAACCAAATACTTGCTTTAGTGGGGCACAAAAAAATGATGTGGCTGGGCTGGATCTGGCCCTCGGGTCTTGAGTTTGACACCTGTGAAATCATCACTTCTGTTGACAGATTTCTTATTGATTTGACTTTATGCCACTTTATACGTAATTGTTTCCTATATACCCGTATCGCTCTCTCTCTCTCTCTCTCTCTCTCTCTCACAAAAAAATGATGTGGCTGGGCTGGATCTGGCCCTCGGGTCTTGAGTTTGACACCTGTGAAATCATCACTTCTGTTGACAGATTTCTTATTGATTTGACTTTATGCCACTTTATACGTAATTGTTTCCTTTATACCCGTATCGCTCGCTCGCTCTCTCTCTCTCTCTCTCTCTCTCTCTCTCTCTCTCACTCACTCACTCACTCACTCTCTTTCTTTCTCTCGCTCTCTCTCTCTTTCCCTCTCCCTCCCCTTTCAGTAAATAGAGTAGTGAGCGCTTCATGCATCATTACACCTTCACTCCCTTAATGATGACAATTAATCACACGGGCTAGGACACCGAGCAGCAGGCTCACATGTAAACACTTCATGCACACGCTTCAATTCACAAGCCAATGAACGAGTAATGAAGTAGATCATCCATTCTGTGTTAGATTAATTCTTCCCGCCATCAATTAAATACTGGGATGGATTATATCCTATCACGTTTTCTTGTAGACAAAATCAAAAGCTATCCTTCAATGGGATGTGTATCGTATTTCCTGAAAGATTAGCCATCCCTCGAATTTAGACGGAAAACACCTCCCTCGAGAATTTGAATGTCCATCAAATTTAGGCTAACCATTCGTCATCCCTGTTGAAAAATCGTAAAATGTGCCGAGCTCACCGAATTTCAGTCTGCACTTCATGACGCGAGGATTGCATCATAAATTTGCTAAGCATAAAGCTGGGAGGACGTCGAAGGCTTTGCTGTGATTTATCTTTTGTCTGCACCTTGCGTTGCGAACAAATGACAGGCCTGCATTTCCGTCAATAAATCCTCAAGGATTAGCCTTGTGCGCAGGAATGCTCAGCATGTTCTCACTGGGTCAACGGGCAAATAGCTCGGAAGCGCCAACCGTCTTGCTTGGCGCTTTAATCATCTTGCAGAATCATGCCGCCCGGTCACACCGTTGACCGAGACGCACGCTATGACAAATTCCGTGAACAAAAAAAAAAAAAACACTGATCACACTCCTTGTTTCTGTCCGATTAGGTGGACTATGCCAAAATTCTCCACTATGTCGGAGCCGGCATCGCCTTCCCCACCAGTATGCTGTTTGTGTGCCTGCAGTCGGCGTTGACCTATCGACTGGCCAAGACGCAGGGGGAGTACAACGTGGCCCACCTGCGGCTCTGCATGACCCTGCTTGCCTTCGTCGCCCTGGTGCTCAGTATCCTCTTTGGCCTCCTCGGGGCTCCATTAGCGCAAACTCAGATAGCGCATACCCTAATAAGGATAGACGCGCGATAGAAAATGGACGGTGTGCTGTTTCTAAAACCTGTAATTTAGTAGAAAAACGGCATCATTATGCTCTCATCCATTTTCGTACCGCCCTCAGCTCTACATCCAAATTAAAAGTGTAAAGATTAGAGAGGTAACGAAAAACGGGTTTGAAGCGGACAATCGTTTTCGATTAAATCAAAGCGAATAAAATTGTTAGGTTTTAAATTGTACCATCCACGAATCGTATTGCACCCCACCTATCGGGAGACGTATCGATTTGTCTTTTTTTATGAGAGTCGTCGCGCACAATCGATACAAATCATTTCGAGGTTGTCGGTGAATCGGCAGACGCTCCTTAATGGCGTTTCCAGGCGGCGTATTTTTCTGCCAGGAGAGCTACATCCTCCAACACGCCTCGGCCATCTTCGAGTGGGTCTTCTGCGTCATCATCATGCTCTTCTACGGGACGTTCGCCTTCGAGTTTGCGGGCATGTCGGGGGACACCGTGGCGGTGCTGGCCCGAGGGGGCTCCTTGGGGGGCGCGGGAAGGGAGCACAAGATGGACGCCTTGGGGCCGCACCCGCCGCCGCACCAACCCGAAAACATGTCCATCCTGTAGGGCCCGACGTGCTCGGCCCTGGATTATCCTTCCAAGACGGGGTTGTCAAATCTGTTGAATCACTCAATGGCGTGAAGATTTGAACTCAAGCAAAACCCCAGCGGAGAGCTTTTTTTTTTTTTTTGTCATCACATCTGAGCTTTTCCACCAGCTTTTCGCCTGTCTGCATTTTGCACATTTGTGAAACCAAATTTTCCAGCCAGCCAGCCAGCCAACCCTGCCTTCAGTTACAAGCGTTAGCAGCGGAGAGCCAAAGGTCCATCAGATTCCGAAAAAAAATCTGTTGTTTCCTCTCTCCTGCCCCCCCTTCCTTCTCAACAAGTGACCTTGGATGATTTCCTCTTCAGGTAATTGCAGCGAGGCCTTTTCATTTCATTTGGTGAGTGCGCACATGCTAAACAAGAGTCTGCCGGACGGCCGCAGATGAAAGTAGAAAGCGCAGCGTGGTATTATCTGCTGCTTACGTAGTAGCCACACAGGAGCAAGGTCAGGTGTGGAAGCAATAAATTCCCTTCATATTGTCCTACAGACCAGTATATAACTCTTATCTGAAAACTGTTACATATTTAAAAAAAATAAGGGGGACCTGGTATGTATCTATTTTTTTTTTTCCAATGTTCATCTGGGATGGTGTTCATATTGAACTAGATAAAAAGTCATCCTCTCATCTTAGATCAGAGGTGTCCAAACTAGAGACCCCGGGGGCCTTTTTAAGTACCCCCATGCCATAATTTCCCGTGATTAATATGCAACCTGTAAATGCTCAGATCTTGCATTTGGTCCTTCTGGTTGTGCGTCACCTAAGCCACATTAGCCCAGTAGCTTTGACTACGAGCTGTTCGCGGCACTTCTGATCACATAAGGGCATGTCGTTGGCTATTTGCATACCAGAGAGTCACATAACGGAACAATTGTTGTTACAAAGTCACTGTGGGATGGTGCGTAATTTTGTTAAAATATACGACTAATATGGAAGGGAGCCTATTATTCATGCGAAATTACAGTACCGAGATTCCTATTTAACCAGGCCTGTGTTGTTTAACTGCATTGCACTAGTTACTTTTTTTATACACTGGTGAGCCAAATAGGAGCTGAGAAGAAATGGTTCATTTCTCCCTTCCTCGTGTCCCCCTCGTTGACGTCAGCAAAAAAATAGAAACGTTTCTCGAAACAACGCGCCCCCATGAATCAAGATAATTTAGTTACAGCAGCAACTTGAATGGCAATTGTTTGCCTCCACTTCAAGGTCATCTTATTAACAGATACAGGACAGCAGTTTGTTCCCCGTGACCTTCAAATAACGACACGAATTGAACATAGTTGCATAGCAGGTCCCCTTTAAAACAGCAAATATTGATATTTGTTCACACTGACATCCCTACCACTGTTTGTTTTTTTTTTTTTTTTTTGCTCATCTTCTCCAAGTACTGACGCCGCCTCACAATGGTTGATTGTACAATCGTTGCCAACAGACCTCCAGCACTGTACAATTTTCTGCCAAAGACGCGTCGATGCGACGCAGATTCCCCCCAGGTCCTGCGCATTCCATCCACTTACTGTAAGCTTCTTACCTTCTACAGTATTCCTCATAGAGACGATAGCGGCCGTGTGACTGTCAAGTGTGCCAAATATCAGTGTGCCTGTGGCCTCGGTGCTATTAACAAGTCTCTCTCTCTCTCTCTCTCTCTCTCTCTCTCTCTCTCTCTCTATATATATATTAATTGATGATTGTAACAATCGCATTCATAAAAGCAATATTGTACACTTCTTTTTATCACTATTGTGTTCCTGAATGTTACTGGACACAGCATTGGGTACATCACAAACACGTCAATACAAAGACGTACAACTCTTTTACCTTAACTCTTACATTGGGGGGGGGGGGGGGGTGTTCGGGGTGTAAGAAAATCCCCAATGCATTTCAATAGGTGTCATTTACAGTTTACATGGATTTTTGTGATCTGCAGGCCGTCCCGGCCGGACACTATCCCCTACATATAGCAGAGTCGACCGGATGTACGTTCCAATCGGGAATATACATTATTAGCGCCACCGCTCCAGTCGTCACTGAAATATGTAGTTCCATAATAGTCAAAGAATTGGCGGAAGAAAAGGTTTAGGACAGATCACTGCCGCACAGAGATAAAAAAAAAAGGCTGGAAAATGTTGCACATTCACGAGAGTTCAAATGACATCATTTGGGGTACAGTGGATCCCCACATATGATGATTTTATTTTCTACCTTGGGAGGTTGGATCAGAAGGCCCCGTTTTAAAACACTGAATCAATGAATGTACACAACATTCCCAATTTACCCGCCTAATGCCTTTTACCACAGCTAAGCGGAAATTTGCCCACCACCCATCGTCTCGTTGCCAGTTTAATTCTGTTTCCCTTTCACACGTCTCAATTTTGTTGTGAATCTGACACTGCCTCCGAAAGGCGATTGATTGTACCTCTATGTGATCACAAAATGGCAGCAAATGATCACGAGGCAAAAAAAAAACTTTTAATAGCATGTTAATAATACGCAGCCATTTTCAGGTGTACCTAATGTTGTGGCCTAAAATAATAATACTTTTTTTTGGGGTCCATTTATTTTATTCTGACATTCTACTATACAGTACTTCGGAAGTATGCCAACCAAAATGACCTATGCAGCTATTGTCACACTTGTCATGTGTCTTAATTCATATTCTCATCATTCCACACTTTGGTCACTTATTTTTCTTTTCCAATCAGTATACTAAAAGTGTGTGACTCACCTGGAACTAACTCGTTGTCCCTTGCTCCCTCTATCCGTCAAAACTCGTAATTGCAGAAGCTTGGTCTTAAACTTTTTGGGGTTTAAGAAGTCTTCTCAAATGTCCTAACATTTGTTGTGAACTACTTAAAAAAAAAACGGCCACAAAACTGCTGTAAAAATGTTAACTATACATTGTTTTTCAATTTTAACAAGCCTGAAGTATACATATCAAAATGAAAATATTTTGTTTTTTGATCTGTTAAAGGCCACGATCTTTATATATATTTTTTCAGTCGGTGGAGGAAAATGAAATATCCATTAATACATTTCAAGGAATATTTGGTCTCCTATTTTGTGTCTTATTTACAGTATATAGAACATTTAAAAAACACAGAAGAGGTCCTGGTGACCAAAAAAAATTGAAAAAACATTTAATTTTAATATTTATTATCAGATGACACTATTTTATTGTTTTACCCCATTACCGGCATGCGGCAGCAAAGATTTACTATTTTCCGAACTTACCTTTGCATGGATTCATCCATCTAATCAGTTTTCACTATTCAAAGCATGCAAGAGCAAAAATTTCACACCCCTTTGTTTCTTTTTTTTTTTTTTTTTTTTGCTCAGTTGGCTCACAAATGTAACAAGCTAAGCGGATGTTGTTTCAAAATGTCCCACATTTTCTGTTTGAATTTCAGTTGATTTTCTATTCTCCCTTCATTCAAAGCACGCAGCAGTGATGCCTCCCTGCTGAAATAAGCCCATCACTGACGTACGAAAATGTTACGCGATATCTTTTTTTTTCTTCATAGTTCTGTCTTTATATTTTTCCACCACACCTCCCCCCTTCAAAGCATGCAGCAATAAAAAAGGTCCCACATTTATCCTGTTTTCCTGCCTCAATTCTGAAATCATTGATCGACAAAAAGTCAAATAACCATCGTTTTTCTTGGAAATTCTTTTAATTTCACATTTGTCCACCAGAGGGTGCCATTTTCTCCCATTCTAGCAGGCAGTGGCAAAAAACATTTTCCCTTAAAGGGGAAACAGACTGATATCGTGGCGTACGAAAATGTCAAACACATCGTTTTTGCAAATCTGGCATTCTCCCCCCCCCCCCACACACACACACACACAATGTTATGTTGCTGCCTAAAATTCCACATTTGTTCTCAGGAAAGTGTTTGGACAACACAATGCAAATGCTTCTGTTGCCACCTTCCGCAATTGTGGACCCGTGATTTTTTTGGGTTTTTTTTTTAAAACTGGCTTAAACGCAAAAATGCCCCAAAAAAACATTTCCCTCTCGCGAGCTCATTGCGCTGCTAAGCCACACCATGTTAAATATTAGCAAAAGCTATCATGCAATCATTAGTAGACTATGGAATAATTAACCTGTAAACCTCACATTGTTAAATATTAAATCTATATACTGTATGTGTATATTAATTCTTCAACTCTGCTGCCTACGTGCCTTATTGTTACTTACATAAAGCAAACCAAAGAGTTTGAGGTTGTAAATTCTATTTTGACGATTGTATACTGTGTGTGTGTGTTATGACTTATTGTTGAACAAATAAACCCTACAAATGTTCTTTTTTTTTCCCTCCCCCTCTCCGTTTTATTGCACAAAAACACAGGACTCTGTTGACAATTGACATCTTTAATTATTTTTTTTGGTGGTTTAATTATTTACAGTCCAGCTATTATTTGTCAACAAAACGATGACAACAGATAGGACACTCATCCCTTCGTCAAATACTTTTTAGAGAATTAAGACATGATTAAAAAAAAACAAAAAAAAGGAAGAATAATGCCCCATCAAACAAACAGACTCTCCTGTTTAAGAAATTTGACAAATAAATGAGATCGTGGAAAAGGAGAAAATGTTTTTTTTTTTAGAATTGCATCTTAAAAACAAAGGCACTTGCAGCATTTGGGCACAATTTTGAATAGGGTGAGTGCCTTTTTGTTGTTTTCATAACAATTGATTCATTTTTAGGATCGCAAGATTGAAAACAGGCACGGAGGAACCTACGATGACAATAAATTACTTTTAGAATGGCATGATTTAAAAAATAACTTGGCAACTATTTTAGGACATTATTAAATATAATCAGCATTTGTATCATTTGGGGGCTTTTTACAATTGATTTGTTTTACAATTGCTTGATAAAAGCGAAGGCAAGAGACATTTTTATGATTTGCTTTTCGTTGGAAGATCAAGGGCACTTTTATGGCTACTTCATTTTTTTAATAGATGGCAAAAACAAAGGCACTTTTAGGGCATTATTAAACATGGCCATTATTATTTTTAAGATTTGTTGTTGGAATTGCACGGCAAAAACAAAGATACTGGGTGTGCCACTTTTTTAAAGGACATGGTTTAATATGAGCCTTTGTACCATTTTGGGGCCTTATATGATGTTAAAAGGAAAGGCCCTTGGCAACTTTTTAGGACATTATTATGTTGAGCTTCTGTGTGACTTTTGTCAAGTTATATTTTATTTGTTTTTCCGACTACATGGCAAACCAAATAAAGGCAGCAAACGAGGAGATTATTGAACAAGACACAAAGGCACTTGGCTGCCACTACAAATGCACAAAAGCTGTTTTTTTCTTTTTTAAGGGCATTGTTAAATATAATGAGCATTTGTACCATTTTGGGGCTTTTTAAGACTCATTTGTTTTCAGAATTGCATGGCAAAAACACACATTTGGCAACCAGTAGCAGCCGCACGGAAAAAAAAAAATTGAGGCGGTATTAAATACTAACATTTGTGCCATTTGGGGGCTTTTTAGGTTTCGAGAAATGGCGTGGGCGTATAGAGGTCCCCGAAAGTGAACAAAAGTACACGTCTTGCGTGTCTGTTTTGATCTGTTTGGTTGTAACATGCTTCTGATGACATAAACGATGTTTTATTGACCTGTTTGGTGGAGCACCGTGATGCTTGTGACCGGCTTTCCAGCAGCACACATGACATACAAAGATTGAGAAGTGAAGCTTTTGGTTGAAGCAGCAATGACATGAAAAGTTGTTCTCAAAACATCTCCCACGTGGGGTTTGTTGTACTTTCACAGCATTGAGGTGTTTATGATTATACGTACCGTATATTAAAAAGAAAACAAAGAAGCACCGCGCAACAATTCAATAGGATGGATGTCTTTGTTCCTATCAGGTGTCCTTCACGGTACACCTCCTTTCGCAGCTCATCATGTGTATACAGCTTTTGGTTTGGTTGGTTTTGGGTTGGTCCAGGTCCTCTCGTAGTGCTGTGAGGAGATGAAGCGCTTAGAGGACGAGCCTTTTAGGAACCTCCCAACTGAACTCGGGCCGACCGAAGTGGCCGTAAGTGGCAGTCTGCTGGTAGATGGGCCTCTTCAGTTGAAGCTCCCTGCAGAAGAATCATTCGGGTCGTTACAAGAAAGTAAGAGACCCCGCAGCGTGCAACGTTAGCTAAGGCTAACTCAGTAGTTCTTAAAACCTTTTGGGGATACTGGAACCCACAAGTTTCATGCGCGCATTGGACACCTGGGGTCGGTATAAGACAGATGGTCAACATCTAGATGGTCTCGACTCCTCAGTACGGCACTAATATCAACTCACTTATGATAGAACCCGTACTCAGTTCTTCAAATAATCGACGCGATGTTAAGTACCGCTGGTCAAATTGTTACATCCTAACAAGGGCTGGATCAAAACTTGACCTTTGATAGTAACATATTTTTTCCCCTCATTAAGATGCAGTGAAGACCAAGAATGTTAAAGTGTAATTTTAAAGAAGTCATGACAGTCGGTGGCACTTATTGGTAGAAAAAGTAAAACCATTGTCTTTGGCGCCCTCTGATGGCAGCAATGACCATAACATGTCCTTACTGGACTCCTTTTTTACTGACCTCACGATAACTCCTGGCCTCAGGTCAAAGTTTTTGTTGACGATGTGCAGCAGCTCCGATTCGCTTTTGTTGGACGAGCCGTACGTGAACAACGAGATGGACAGAGGGTGAGCCACACCGATAGCGTAGGAGACCTGGAGGACATGCGCACGTAGCCAAAATCAAAAATACAAATGTACATATTTTGCACCTAAACCTAAAAAAAAAAAAAAAAAGTCAGGAAGCCATGCCCCCCCCCCAAAGAAACACAGCAAGTCAGCCATTTTTGTTTGCGACACCTATAACTATTGAACCAAAAGTGCAAACCATGACTTCATCGCGCTGCCTCCTACTGACTATCAAACGGTCCTAATTTGGCTTGCATTGTATACAACTAAGAATTCAAGCCTGAACGTAACCGTGGTGGTTTTGGGGGCGACGCTTACCTGCACCAAGACCCTCCTGCAGAGCTTGGCCTTGACCAGAGACTTGGCCACCCAGCGGGCGGCGTAGGCGGCCGAGCGGTCCACTTTGGAGAAGTCCTTGCCGGAGAAGGCGCCACCGCCGTGAGCTCCCCAGCCCCCGTACGTGTCCACGATGATCTTGCGGCCTGTGACGCCGGCGTCTCCCTGTAGAAGACAAAAAGAGTCAACCGAGGGGGCTCGGTGGTGGCACACGGTCCGGGGTCTCGCGGCGTCACCTGCGGGCCCCCGATGACGAAGCGGCCGCTGGGCTGCAGGTGATAAATGGTGTTGGCGTCCAGGTATTTGGCGGGGACCACTGCGTTGATCACCTGAGAAGAATGTGAATCACTTCATTAGGTACACCTGCACCATCCACAGCGCAGGTGAGAAAAACTCCTAAGCCGAAACCCGACCTTCTCCTTGAGGACTTTCTTCTGCTCCTCCAGAGAGATGCAATCGTCGTGCTGCACCGAGATAACAATGGTGTGGACTCTCTTGGGGATCACGGCGCCATCTTTCTGGTCGTAATGCACCGTCACCTGCGGGATGTACAACAAAGGTGAGCTCATCCTTTCGTTTATGACTGACACTTTTATGACTTTGTGATTGTATGAGGGATTTTATAAGCGGATAAAAGTGTGCCGGTGATCTACTACGAGCGTGTGATTGGCGATGCCACATGCCGACATAGCGTTCTTCTATTCAAGTTGATCATTCAAATTGAAATAACAAACGACTGTATATATTGAACCCGTTTGTCTGTAAAACACGTGCTTGTCGTGATTTAGGATGATTGCAGCCATTTATTTTTGTGTGTATTTTGACAATGAAAACAGTTTCTGATTTTGTTTGTACTGGACTAAGTTCACATTCAGGTCTATTGAAGCTCTGTGAAATACACTTTTTCAACATATTAATTGAAAACAACGATAAATATAACGATAAATAAATGAATGAAATAACTAATAAGGAATGTGTAGTTCAAGATCAAATGATATCATAGGGGTACTAACAGATGTGGAGTAAGCTAGCTCTAAACATAAGGATACAGAATAAAAATGGCAAAACAACACATCTATGAATAAATAAATGAAAGCCAGGACTCTAATAATATTTAATAAATAATAATAGAAAGAAGAAACATTTTAAAAAATGGATGTAGTGACAAAATGCTGGCCAATTTAGCTTAAACTATTTTAGCAATAGGAATGTTAGCTTAACCTATCACATTTCAAATTGGTTGACCAGAGCAACATTTGTTGCAAAAGACATTCCTTTTAATCATCAGCATCTCTCATGAGCATGATGTACATTATTTGATTTCAATGTTTAAATGTTGCTTTCATGTTTTTGTCATTTCGTTTGATACGCTAAGTACACCGCTATCTTGAATTATACGGTATTTTCTTATGGTATGATGGTGCTTTAATTGTGATAGTGACACGTGATGAAAGTGAGAGTGGAACTAGTATGAGGTTAATTAAGTTGGGTGAGTAGAAGTAAAATAAATAAAAGGGTAAAAACACCTGGGTTTTGGAGTCGGGACGCAGCCAAGGGATAATCCCGTTGCGTCTTAGCTCGGCCATCTTGGAGTTGAGCTTGTGGGCTAAGACGATGGTGAGCGGCATGCACTCTTCCGTCTCGTCCGTGGCATAGCCAAACATCAGACCCTTGAACGTACACAAATTGAATCCAGACAAGTTGGATGATCCGTTTTGGTTCAATGGTTTCCAGATGCCACAAGTCAACATGCAAGAAAGGGAAGTCAGAACTGTTAGCAAAGCTCCACCTGGTCTCCTGCGCCAATGTCCTCCTCCTTGCGGTCCACATGGACACCCTGAGCAATGTCCGGACTCTGCTGCTCCAGAGCCACCAGGACATTACACGTCTTGTAGTCGAAACCTGACAACGGCACAGTAAAGATGATTATTATTATTATTTTTGTTTTTTTTTTAGAGCCTTTTGCTTGTCTGTTAGCAGGCTCACATAAATGCTGGGAAATGAAAAAGCAAGTCTTGATTAGTGACATTGGCGCAGAACCACGTGACGTTCTTTGTAATGATTTATCGTATCACTCGGAATCACCTTTGTCGGAGTTGTCGTAGCCGATGTGCTTGATGGCGTCCCTCACCACCTTCTGGTAGTCCACGTTGGCGCGGGACGTGATCTCGCCACAGAGCAGCACCATGCCCGTCTTGCACACCGTCTCTGCGGAACACGTTCAACAAATACAGTCACGTAGGGCAGTTTAACATCCGTGCGTGAGTGTGTTCATTATGTTTTTGAACAGTTAATTGGGGACTCTGGAGTCCTTTCCCACATGCGAGGGCATAACTGTAAGCAAGTCCAGCGAACCCCCCAGTGTATCCCGGTTCATTGTTTGCGCCCTTGATACATCACAGGTTTTGAAGAATTGTGAGACGTGTGCTTTGAGTGTAGTAGCACGTTCTGCCACAACATGGCGGACAGCACTGAAGTCTACTGAAGGAGATGCGGCTTAACAGCAAGAAGAGGCAGAGAAGGTCCCCAATGAATACTGTATCCGCCAACATTAGCTGTTGTATGAAGGGTTATCATTCCCTCAACATATATATGCTAATTCCCGTTAGCTGGTATATGGCACGTCACATTTATATGCTAGTGTTGAGCTACTGGACTTTTGCTTGATTTATTAATGATAGTTTGGTTGGTGTTTGGATAATCAGTGTTTCATTCTCTTTCGTTTTATGGGTCAATTTCACAGCAAATTTCAACCAGGCAGCTTGAAGCAAACACGCTTTGGCTCTCGTTTGGAAAACTCTTTTCGTTTCCTCGAAGTGATGTTATATGATGACCGCCCATATCTTGACAGCGAGAAAGTAAGAAAGAAGATGCGATAAGGAATATTTATCGAGGCTTAAGTGTGTTTTGATGAGCTGAAATCTGCTTCAAAAAAATATAGGAGCGGTAAAACTACTCTGATCGTAAATCGGTCGCGGAGCCATAAACAGGTTCAATGTACTGTTGAAAAAATCACTTAAAATAACCCCGGATAGCGCGGGCATGAGCAGTGAACTGCAATGTAATAGAACACTATCACAACTATCTTGAAGAAATATCTTAAAAAAAAAAAACGCTCAGACTTCGACCCTTTGCGTTGCGGCGGTGTGGCAACGTCTGTTCAGCAGCGACTTCACAAGGTCCATCTCCTTGTCACACAAAGAAATGCAATCCGTGCATATTCCAGTGACCTCCATTCCAGATGGAATTCAGGCCAGAGTGTTCCGAGCGCTTCATTTTTACACACCACAGGCCACTTTGGCATCGGGGTCCTGCTTGAGGTGCGCGTCCAGGACGGCATCGCTGATCTGGTCGCAGATTTTGTCTGGAGGCGGGGAAGAAAACAAATCAATGAGGGATAAGGAAGTGTCGGGTCAGACAGTGCGGATCAATCAGGAGTCCACATATTTTTTGCATGTGGCCGCGGGAGAAGTTCAAAAAAAGAGGAAATGTGTGGTGCAGCGTGGCGGGACAATGGCATACTCAGCACCCTATTCATCTCCCACGCGCTTTGTGTGCACCCCCCCCCCCTCCCAACATGATGAAGCAATCCAACAGAGAGGTTACATCAGAAAAAGCATTGCCGTTTTTTTTTTGGGGGGGGGGGCACAGACAGTAAACACATCCATACTCCAAAAACATTTTTGACAAGTGTGTACTATTTTTTTTTATTACACTTAAAAAAAATCTATTCCATTTTTTTTTAATCCATGAACAGAAATTAATTTTGGGGGAGTTACTTTATTTGGAATAGTCTAAAAATATTATTTTGAATATACATACAGTACAATTATACAATGTGGTGTTTATATAGCAGCTAGGTGATCTTCACGAGTCACATAATTTTTTTTTTAAAAAAAGTAAAAAAAAAAAAAAAAAAGTCACATCAAAAAATCCGTTCAGCATCTCCAGTGCTTATGCTCGTTGCCAGGTGGGAGGTGATCTGGAGTCTGTCCCGCCTGATGAGGCTGAGTACACTTTTAACTGTTCACCATCTCCCAATTTTTTTTTTTTTTTGACCAAAATAACTAAAACAATTTAACTATGTCATTTTTGCATGATTGAAGGTGTGTGGCAAATAACACTGGTCAACAATTTTAATCAGCGACGGCTGTGTGTGCGTTTAAATATGTTTTTGACTTGATTTTAAAAAATGTCCACTTAGTTTTTTTTTTTTTTTTTACAAAAGCTATGCTGCTTCAGAAAAAATATCAATCTGTTGATGAGCCTAAACCTTAATTCATAAATTATACCAAATATATGACTATATGTACATATATAGTCAACGTTTTTATGATAATTGAAACCTGAAGTACTAGAGAAAAAATGAGGGCAAAATAATCTGCAAAAAAAAAAAAAAAATCTAGAAAAGTTATTTGCATTACTGATTTTTTTTAAATAGTCAGAATTTGTTGATTAGTGGAAATCTAAAGATTTTTTTCTCTTGCCTTGCTGTGTTTACAAAGATGATCAAAAAAGGAAACAAGTACATTATTTCAAAAATCAAGGAAAAAATGTACAATTTCAAGACATTTAATCATATTTTGGGTTATAATGCAAAGCTATGTATTATATCATTTTATATCATTTTTGTGCATTTGTGTGTGCGTGTGAACCATCTATGCTGCTGTGTTTCCAAAAACTTGAAAGAAAGAAAAAAAAATGTGAGCTCAAGTTCCACGTTATATAATGTTCGCATCCGTGAAGCGGGTCAAGGTGTTTACCCGGCTGTGTTTACTGATTATGGATGTAGCAACGTGGACTTTGACAGGATTATGACACATTGACAGGAGGAGGAGTTGCCGTAAGGAGGTGGTGCGAAGTTGGAGGGGTGAGATCCAAAAAGTTCAATGAAGGATTTTATTGAAAATTTAAAGTTACTTTTGTCATATTAAGAGGATTAAAAAAAAAAAAAACACACATTCCTAACTGTGGCTTGGGAGCCAAAATTGGCTCAGTGATTGCCACATTCAAAATATAGGCTTTTTTTTTTTTTTTTTTTTTTGGGTCATGAAGCATGCAATTTCTTTGCAAAGGGTCTAGTTTTCCAACAGTAGATGTGTTTTAGTTCCTGGAGAGATAAGCGCTAAGCTAAGTGTTCATCTTTCTTGGAATGAGCGCAGTGGCCTTCACATCTATCCATCCAACTTCTATATGGGAGATTCTGCCGACGTGCAATTAAGTTGTATTGAACTTGAAAGTTCAATCCAACTGCATTTAACCCTTTCAGGGACAGCGGTTATACTACAGTGGACAGCTTATCATGTTATCAGGTTACAGGGTGCATGAAAGGGGTTTATCACAGCTGCTTGTCTTAAAAAAAAAAAAAAAAAAAAAGATACTTAAACCATTTTTATTTGGCTTTTATGCGCTGTACATTGAAAATGAATCATTAAGTAATTTTTTTAATGTAAAAAAAAATGTGTAAGGAAATCAATTAACTGAAAACTAAGCCGACTGACGATGGATTTTTTTTTTAAAGCAGGATATAATTCCGATAATTGATGGACTGATTAAGTAAAAAAATATATATTATGAATAAAATTTGTTCTTTTTTGGTCCCTTTATCTTGCATTTTACTTTTTAATTTTTTTGTCCAATTTTTGTCATTTGTTTAACTTAACAACAGAGAAATCAACCAAAATAGATAGTTTTTTTATCCAATTAGGGCCCCACTGAAAACTATCTTTTTTTTTTTTTTTTTTAAGGTGCTCATTTTTACCTGCAAAGCCCCC